TGCATGCCGATCAGCGTCTTACATCACACGCCTTCTTCTTATGGGCTGGACCACCCCGGTGCTGCGGCCCATGTCCATCGCCGTGGGCATCTGGGGTTATACCCCCACACCGCCGCCGCCGCAGCGCACAGGCAGAAGCGTGCCGCCGCGACCACCTCGTCCGCCCCCCGCAGCAGCAACCTCTCCTCGAACTGGGACCGCTACGACGCCGAGGGCGAGGCGGAGGATCCGCGGGCGCTGGGAAATGGTCAGGCCAGGTAGCACAGCAAGGGCGCCGACTTTGGGTTCCAGCACGAGCCGAATCTGGACGTGAGCAGCAGAAGGAAGAAGAAAGCACATCTACCTTTAGATTTGGATCCTGCGGTCCATATTGTTGACCCTGACATCTTCAGTCACATGCAGCGGATATACTCCCTATAGTTTTGACAAGTCAAAAGAATTCTTAAGTTCGATCAAATCTAAAAAAGATACTAATATTTATACTAGTGAATAATTGGTGTTCATTAATCATTGAATCTATTTTGTATGTACTTATTTATAGTAGACTCATAAATGTTGCTTACAGACTTTCAAATCAAATCCGTAAGAGAACCGAGCAGCACTTGGATGGCTAGCACGGCCGGTGGGCATGTTCGATTCCCAGGAATTGCACTCGTGTCTCTCACCGGGGTTTGCCCCTAAATAAAAATCTGTTGCCTCTCATGTGGAGCCACAAAGAGAATGCGACGCACCTCGTCGCCTATGGATCCATAGTTGGATCTGGTGATCTCACAAATAATGCGATCTAATAATCGAGTATATTAAGGTTTGTTACGAATCAATCAGTGTAATGTAATGCGTGTGTAGGGTTAGTATAAAATGTTGCCTACAGACTTTCAAATCAAATCCGTAAAAACAAAAAGGTTGCGGCAGATCCGGTGGGCGGGGTGGCCGTGTCCTCGGGCCTCGGGGCACGGGATTCACCAACGGGATACGAGTGTACTCCTCCGTACTCCAGTCCAGTACAGGGATAGGAGGGTGGGGCCCACCCCTGGAGACCGTTGCCCTGCCCTCGCCCCGATAAAGCGCGCGCGCCCGCCGAACTCCAGCAAACCAGCAAGCAGGATGGACGGATTCGAGGCAGAGCCACCGCCGCTAACTCCGCTGAATGGTTTTTTCGATTCTCTGTCCCCTAAACCAACAGCACGTTCGGTTCGGGTTTGATTTTCACCCGTGGATATCAATGGATATCGAAATGAATCATTTGAATTAAAACTCATGTTTTATAATATTAATAATAATTTGTTTACTTAAAAAATTAAATTTATTAAAGTTGACTCTAAAAATTTTTATACGATCTTGTTTATACATGTGACAATATCCATGGTTTCAAATGAACATGCTATAAATTCCTAGATTTATTAAGTCAAATTTATTAAATTTTGATCGAATTTTATAAAAAAAATCCATCAAAAATTTTGATATTAAATCAGTATCATGAGATATATCATAAAATATATTTTCATAATATGTTTATTTTATGTCACAAATGTTATAGTTAAACTTATAGTTTGACTTGCACGGATGTTAGAAATGGAAATGGATATATTTAGGGACCGAGGAAGGACTGAAATGCTTGCAAATATCGGTTCCCAAGATGAAGTTAGTGAGGAGGAAAAAGATGCATGTACCCTACTAGACATGCAGATTTTTCGTTTCCCGTCACGCGCGCACGCAACAGCTCGATGGATGATTGCTTGGACGGGGAGCCTGTGGTAGATTATTCCTTCGAGGTGCAGAGGAGAGGTCCTGTCGCTGCTAGCCTTTTACAGGTCTAAAATTGCAAGCTTTTTGCGGACTCGAATCTAGAATTACAAGCTTTCGTGGACAGCCCGATTTCTGATCTTTTGTGTGTATACCGAACTTCATCGGTCTAAAATCAATGGTCCTATTCGTTTCGCTAAAATTTAACTTATACTAATTTATTGTGAGAGAAAAATACTGTTAAAGTAGTGCTATAGAACATGGCAAATATAATTCTCATTATAAGGTTGAGGAGGGGCAACGGGTTTATATATATGGTCTGATATATGCGTTAACATTTGTATCCATTGTGGGCCAGTCTAACCAAAGAGATGCAACGTCATCTGATAACACTATAAACACGTACACACAAAAATGGCCGAGCCAAGCACGTTTTTTTTCTTCTTAAATACGTAAGGTTACAGTGACGCGCCGTGCACTGACGCACTAGGGAGGACAAGATTTGCTACGATTAGCGCCAAACCTCCCTAGCAAAGGGTGCCTTTGGCTATTACTCATGCATGACATCCTTGATTACGGCTAGAACCTACGGGTCTGTGGCGGTGGCTTGGCGGAAGCATCGTCCATTTCGCTCCTTCCACAGCTTCCGAGCCAAGCACGTTTTAAGGTTAAGGTTGTGCTTGGTTCAGGACGGAACATGTGTTTCGTTCTAGAGCATGAAGAAGATGGGATCGTCTCTAGAGAGAAATATTTCTCAACATTTGGGGCTCCCTCCTCTCCAGCTGGCGATTAGACCTGCTCGTCGGGAAACCGGAAGCCTTGATTCTTGGATATTATTTGTAGGGATAATTAATTAGTTAATACCTCCTGGACAATATACTAGTACTATGTTCTCTTGAGCTGCTGTGGACTGGATCGCGAGTAGAGTACATCCATCACATGCATGCATAGAACCCGGGCCACGTCTCTCTCTCTCCCACCCGTCAATCCATGTGCAGTCCAAGTCCAACGACGACGACGACACTTTCATCTTTAATTTCTCATCAGGCGCACAGCTAGCTCAGCTCCCATGCATTCTTGTCCCAATCTGCAGATAAATGTGGCACTTGCATGCATGTGCAAGAATATGCCGCCAGTTCGTTTGGTCGTATTTGACTTATATATTTACAAATGACTGAAAGTGCTACTATTTATCGGTTGAAATTTTTTACAATCTAAACATGATTTTTCTCTCTCTCTCCAAATCCCGTCAATCCATTTTTAGTCCAAGCTTTATCGACGAAACCACCATCATCTTCAAATGTTCATCATTGTGGTCCTCATCAATATACAGCTCCCCTGTGTCCCCTTTTCCCTCCTCTTTATCAAGTATACTTGAAATATGGAGTAAGAAAAATACCAGATGGCCTAATATAAAGATATATACTAGCAGAAACACAAAAGAAGGAAAATGAAGCAAAAAAAAAGAGGAAAGAAAAAGGATAAGCTGTACGGATTTTCAGTAGAAAAAGGGTCATAATCCACGGCAGAGTAGTGAATGGTCAAGGACGGGAAGCATCGGTGCTGCGGGCCGGCTGCTGTGAAGTGGGCCACAAAATTTCAGTTTACGGGGCCTTATATATATATGGGCCCAAAGTAATGTTCTCAGGCAGGTCGGTTAGCAACTAACGTACCCTAATGATTTAAAAAATAGAAATACTATACAACACACGTATATTTTAGCATAAAAAAACACATAAATTTTAGTCCACCGCAGGAAAATGAAGTCGGAAATGCAAAAGTGAAAGTAAGGTAAGGTATATCGATCTTGTAGCATTTGACGGTAGAAAAGGGTGATGATGATCCACCGCAGTGGTGGTGCAGTCTTGTCCCAATCTTGGCGGAGGCGGGTGGTGGTGCAGTCTTGTTAGAGGCAGGTGGTGATGACGGCCGATCTGTCTTCTTGTTCTTTCGTAGAAAAAAAAATATTTCTTGTGATACGTGGATTTATGATATTGTGATTTATGATTGTCTAGAAGTAGAAGAATGCTGGAGGTAGAAGGAGGATGAAGGTTGTTGAATCTTGATTCTATGATGTAAAAAAATTTATGTATTAAAACTGCATAAAACACATGGTTGTTAGGTAGACAGACTAAAAAAATTGTGCTCAGGTCCAGGTCCAGCACTAATACTAGCAGACTGTGATGTAGTACATGTCTAATCATTCATTCCACAAACCAGCCATTCGATCTATCTGCAAACACTTTCCTTTTTATTTATTTTTTAAATCACTCATCACAAATCTTGAGAACTAGAAAGTTCTTAATCCTCTGGGTAGGACTCTACCACCCTTGTCTTACGGACATTTGAACAAGCGTTCTTCAGTAGGTTGGGTTGTGTGTGGCAGCGAGCTAGGTGATGTCATGGCTATATATATACCAAGGAAATCAACACTTTGACCTAATTACAGATTTGTGGCACCAAACTATTATGGTAACAATTTTTTTGTGGACCCTATATCCACTCGATCTACTATCATGACACCTACATACACCAATGAAAGACGGAGCATCCACACATAAGAGAATTAAACATTTATTCACTTGTATGTGAACTTGGTACAATGAACTCAACCTCTATGTTCTGTATTGGGTCTCATATATATTATTCTAGAAGCATTAAAGTATGCATTGCTATTTTCAACGACAGCAACATATTTCTCAATGGAAAAAAAAGTGAATACAATTGTACATGATGACAAGCAAAACCACCACAACCGACGATGCTTGTTCCTCCGATCCACGTCGCAACAAGAATGGGTTGTAGCTGAGTTCATGAAGGCAGAGCCCAACCACGGTGTTGGAGATGTACTATACTCCTGTGTCCAACCAACCAACCTTTGGACTGGGAGGTTATTAAAGACGTAGAATGCTGCAAAGTCTGAGGGGTTGGGGTTGATGTTGGTGTTGATCTCGAACTAGGTCTACCCGGCGGCCAAGAGAGGAAACACCAAATGCATTGTGGGACAAGAGGAGCCAGACAAAAGTGAGGAGCTCCGCTGAGCTCCGCTGCGTGTGCCTCCGGCCTGGACTTGGAGGCGGCGTAGACAAGCAGCCTTGCCCACATGTCCTTCAGCTCCTCGAGTACGTGTTTCCTGCCACAGCTCCGGAGGAGGCAGCATCGATATCCATGACCATTGTTTGGCCGCTAGTTATCTGCTGCTGCTGGCCCTTCAGACCCAGGCCAATCTTTGAAACTTCGTCTCAGGGTTGCTATTGCTAGCTAGAAAGAACCTGCAAAAGTGAAGCAGCAGCTGGGTGTGCAGCAACAAGGTACATCATGTACCTAGATAGCTTCCTGCAGACGTCGGCTGAAGCGGCGGCGGTGCCGGTGGCGATGCTGACGCCGCTAGTCTCCGCTGCCGCCGCAGCCTCACACAGAAGAACCTCTGTGCATGCGTGCAGCGAAGATATAAAATGAACAAAATCATAGGTCACACCCGCCCGTGTCGCCTCCAGTAGCAGCTTGCCGAGACACCGCCATTGCTCTAGATGTGGGTGTCGATAACCAGAGTCTATGTCATTTATCGCCTTGACCAAACACACCGTGACATTTTCGTCCACCGCCACGTCCTTGGTCTCCAGTAGCTTGCTCAGCCAGAACAGCTTCTTCTCCCCTTCAGCGCCGACCTGCTTCCTGATGATGCCCATCACTCGCTCGGAGAGCGTAGCCGGCGGCGGCGGCGACCACGGCTCCGAATCATTGTCATAGCACGCAATCCTGTACTGCCCATGGTGTTTGAGTCCCTAGCCATCCCGACACCATGTCGCAGGAAAGAAGACACGTACAGAGACATGCGAGCCATCCTACGGTGGCCCCGAGCCCGCAGCCACGCCCATGTCCAAGGTGATGCAAACAGCATTGTAAGCAGCGTGCAAATGTCCACAACAAGCCCTCCAATGAATAACGTGTAGGTGATTGCAGTGTCAACTCTACCACCAGTGTTGTGGCGGTGCCATGATCAGCTCTACTAGTGAAGAAGAAGAAGAAGAAGAGGAGGAGGAGGAGGAGGAGGAGGAGGAGGAGGATGAGACACTACCGGAATTCATAGGTTTGTCGTGTGCCCACGGCACAAGGCGAAGGCAAAAAAAAAAAAACACTAGCGTTTGCCGAGTGTTACACTTGGCAAAAATAAACTTGGCAAAGCTGTCTTTGCCGAGTGTTTTTTGTCGAGCACTCAGCAAAAACGTTGCCGAGTGCTAAACCGACACCCGGCAAAAAAACATTTTTAAAAATATATAAAAAAAAACCATCTCAAGCCCGAGCACCATTAGGAGCAGTGATTCTCCGTAATTCCCCAATAACTGCTGATATTAAACAAACTGAAGATGGATTCAGGAGCAGTGATGCAGAGGGGATCAGTCCGCTCACAGGCGGATAGGGAAAGTGGGACGACCGTCCCAGGTGGGGCGAGGTCGCCGGTGCCGAAACTGATGGGTCATCTCGACCGCGGCCAGGGCGACAGCGAGCTGATGGGAACTGTGGAGGAAGACGGCGCCGGGTAGAGGCAGCGAGGCGAGTTGCGGTGCAAGCCCAGGAGGGCGGTGCAGCAGCGAGGTCGCCCGTCGCGGAGCCGCCGCGCAGCAACAAGTAGCCCTGATGCGAATCGAGGATTCGTGAGGGAGAGATGAAGACGGATACGGGAGATGCGAGGGAGAGATGAAGGCAGATACACGCGCAAGCGGCGGCGGTGCCGGTGGGCGGTTGCGCTGATGCCGCTCCGTCGCGCAGCCGCCCGCCGCCGCAGTCCGCGTCCACTGGCTGCCGTCGCCGGCCTGTGCATGCGCCCGCTGCGAAGATATACGGCCAGCCGCGAACAAAATCCGCCGTGTAGGCCCACCACATCGCCCGTGTCGCCTCCAGCCAAGCAGCACGCGCGCCACCACACCCCCATTGAGCCTCATCACGGTCACGGGAAAAGGGAAGTTGAGGAGGCCGTGTGTTTTGGATAAGGGACGGGAGAGGGAGGGTTGACTTTATAAAGGCGCCTAGTTTGACGAGTGTCGAAACACAGCCGTGACAGTGTCGATCACCGCACACGTCAAAACTTATCTTTGTTGAGTGTCTGCACTCGGCAAACTTTTTTCCCCCATTTCCTTCTTTTCCATACCTTGTCTTCTTCCTTCCCAATGTACTTTGAGATGCTTCGGTTTGTAAACATCGTACGTGACAAATTGTGCGAAATTTTCTTAATTTTTTTACTACAGTCTCTACGTATGATATCATCACATCATGACAAATCTAATGATTTTTAGACTTCGTTTGCTTTTTTAGAATTTAAGAACCATTCGGCCACACATTCGTGGTTGTGTTTTCTGAACAAGATGTTCGAAATTTCTTTTCATTTCCCGGATAAGGCCTCACACTGGACTCAATAACATGAATATCATTTTTCTACTCATTTTATTCTATTATTTGAATCACTTGCAGTTCAAATTTGACTTACACAAAAAATCCTAGAAATGTAATAAATTAATTAAATATAGCAAACAGATCAAAAAATATACCAAATTTTAACATGGAATACCACATGTTCTATGTGAAGAGTAGAAAAAGTTTCAAGATCAGAAGAGAAAAAAGTGAAATTATTTGTCGAGTGCTAAATAATTACACTCGGCAAATATATTTCTTTGCCGAGTAACAAATAATTACGCTCGGCGAACATATTTCTTTACCAGTGTTTTTTTGGCGGGTGCCGAGTGCCAGCTCTACTTTGAGTGTTTTTTTTGCTCTTTTGCCGAGTGCAATTAAGAAGAAGTGTTTTAAGAAGCACTAGAAAAAGAAGAAGAAGAGTGTCCAATAAGATGAAGCAAATAAGAAGAAGAAGAGCAAACTAAGGGTTTGAGAGCAGCAATGGTAGATGTCAAAGAGATACACCGGAATACAATACCACTCTTTGTCCGGAGCACAGCAGCCTTAGTGTAGAGATCATTGTACATCATACCAAGCTCCACATCCATCAACTTGAACATGGCCCTGTGCTTAGAATGGTGGTGATAAGAGCGCGCAGCCTCCCGAAGATTAATATCCAAATCCACTGTCCTGTTTCTTGCAAAAAGCATTCGGATCTCTGGCGCCGAACGCAAGGCACGATAGATAATACTAGTTACAGTAGTGCCCCCGTCACTACCAAATGGATCATCATCGGCTGGATTATTCTGATTATTTGTGCTGTTATTATTTGAAGTCGAAGATGAATTGTTATTGGTGGTGGTGGATTTCTTGGGGATGACGACCATGTTATTTAGGTTCCCATGCCTCAGTGCTGCTGTCCTCTCTCCATACTTGATGATCCCAGAAACAAACACAAGGATGCCAGGGACAAGAACCTGCATGCTGTGCCAGCTACTCGACTTCCAGAACACATACAGTGCTAGGGTCACTTGGACTAGCAGGTTGAGCAGATGTCGCAGCCACAGGTTGTTGTCCTCCATGGCAAAGGCAGTGATGGTATCCTGAGTTCCTGACCTCCAAGATGGATGAGGAGGAAAGGTGCCCCGAGGAATGCTAACGGGTGGGCTAATCATAACGACGACGATGCATCTGTTAGCCACGGGATCACCGGTTGACGACAGTGAATCTCCAGACCACTAGTTTTCTAGACCAGACCACTAGTCTTCCAGACCACCGTACCGGCTGTGTCCGTATCCACATACTACGGATCGAGCTAGAAGAAGAAGGGAGAACAGAGTAAGCACGCACAATATAAGACAACAACGTTGGCCGAGGCCCTGTCTGTGTGATGGCAAATCTGAGCTCTCTTTACTGAGTTGCCTTGGTGCTCTATTTATACAACTCTATCTATCTAATTAAAGTACAACGCACATGCTGTAACAGTAACTAGATAAGCATACATGACTGACTCTGCGCCGGCCACTGCATATGCCTACAGTGCTGCAGGTGAACCGTGCGACGCCTGCACCTGCAACGGCTACAGTATTACAGCAGGGGGCAAAGTCGACGCCGCCTTCCTCTGCTGTGTTTCACATAAGGTGACAGTAGATTAGCTAACAGCATCGCCGTCGTGGTTATCCGTGGCATCAGCATATGCCGTCACAGAAAACCAAGAGCGTATATTGCTACGACGTCAGCTCCCAGATACGGTATCCATATGGTGCCTCGAAGCAACCAGTCTTTCTGCGTCGCCGAAGGCTACCAGTGAAGAACAGAAACAGTTGTAGAATGAAGCTGAGAAGCACACGTAGCTGGATCTCCCACTCATTTACTAGTTCCAACAACCTCCCCAGCATTATGCACCCGCCAATATATCCCTACAATAATTATCCAGATGTAGTATAAATTACAAGGATCGGACGGCACACACACACACCTCTTTTATTTATTTGCAAAAAGGAATTGAATAAACAACAACATCATTGTATATATAATCAAAAGGAAGCATTTTTCAATGAAAATTGTTTGTATCTCGAGAAAAAGGACAGGAGGGCCGGCCACAAAAATGATCTCAGAGGTGGTTTGTAAGGTGGCTTATCTTTAGAAATAGTTATTGCACAAATAAATTCACAACATTTTCAAATGAAATCGGATGGACATAAACTTTATATATCAAAATTGTATAGCTCTACGAGATCTAAAACTTTGTAGATTGAATGTGAAAGATGAAGGAAAAGCTAGATGTGGAAGATGAAGGAAAGCATGCACTCCTAAAATAAGACCTCCCTACAAATTTACAGCACCATGAAACTTAGAAGGAGACTCTAAATGTAGAAGATGAAGGAAACAAGAACTCCTAACCTTTTTTTTTTCGAGACCTGCCCCTCGGGGCAATGCAACAACCAAGAAAGAGGAAAGGGAGAAAACAAAAGACTATGACCTGTCCTATATGTTCTGCTAAATTATTAAGAGTGTGCTACACCATAAATAAAGTTCTTGAGTTCTTTTAATTTCTTTTTGAAATGGTAAAGCTTAGCTATTCATATATAAGTCTAAGAAACCGCATTTAGGTTGAAATTAAAAGCACGAAAACCAGCGCAATCGATTAATTAAGTATATGCATGGAAAGTTTCAAAATGCAGGGACGACTGATAAATAGAGTGGCTTGCCCCAAAAGTAATTTGACAAACATATAGTTATTGTAAATCATAAGATCATTACCAAAAACAATTAAGCATAATATAAAGCTTTATTATTGCCTGATGGTTGGTGGATGGTAACTACATACCACTGATCTTGATTAAGCAAACCCACGGGGTGTCAATGATCCTTATGTGGTTCTGCAAGCAGCAAGCTTCCCAGTTGGTACTTGGTAGCAACAGCTGTAATGTAATAAATATATCAGGAGAATTAATTAATACACAACTTTAGAGATATTATTCCAGTGTGTCAAAAACAAGTAACAACTATATATGTCGCTGAAAGCAAATGTTTTTTTAATACTACTTTTCGTTACACTTTTCATGACAGAAAGAAGAAAAAACATAGATAGCACATAGGCTGGGATACAATTTAGAAGGCAAGATATATATATAATTGAAGTACGTAACGTAATGCATAGTATTATTATATATATCAAAGACATACCTGAGGTTCTAGCTAGTGTGTATGTACCTAAATGTTTTCTTTGTGGAATGTGTAGCTTATGCAATTGATGCCTCCGGATAGATCGATCAACGTCTATATATAGTTGTTGCTGAAATATAGTATCTTTGTCTTTGGAGCAATCTTTATGTTGTCTTGCAAGAAGAGCAATGGCATGCATTCGCTTACCTCTGCCCAGGGTAGCTCGTTTTTGCTTTGTGTCGTTCATTTAAATCAAATCGACTCAATAATAATAACCGGAGTGCAGCCATGATGGCCGGTATAAATATAGCCTCCTCTCCAAATCACGACTTGTTCGATGCCATATGTGTATATTCTATACCAACCCATTCTACTATGTTTAATAATAGTTCAGCCCTCAAATATTCGACATGATGAGAAACTGAGCGTAACTTAATTGGTTAGATTCCTTGTGTGGAACCTGCTGCTCACCCAATCTCAATTCCTTTGATTCGATATGAGTGCTTATATTTTTCTGAATTTATTTTAGAATTTAATGGTGGTGTTCTTTAAATGGTAGACATATGATTTAATGGTGTTGTTCTTTCAATGGCATACGCATGCTCGTTGAAAGTGAAGTCTCTGCGATGACTACGTCAATGTTGATATCTCACTACTATAAAAACCGATTTCAAGAGAAAAAGGACTTTACTTTCATAGGCATGCATCTTCAACTACTGCCTCTATAATCATCTCTGAGGCAAATGGGCAAAGGCCGCATCTAAAAATGATCAATTTTTAAAGGCAATCCTAATTAAAGACTCACCACTAAAATTGAGTCCACGCAACAAGTTGAATTCACACACTATAGAGTTACTTTATTTGTTCATAAGTTACATTACTGTAACGTGTTTTTTTTTTTGTTAACAATCAATTACTATGAAGTTACTTTCGTATTACAGGACTACAATGTTACCTCTGTAACATTATTCAGAGGCTAGAAAGTTAGTTTTCATGTTATTTCACAGATCATAGAGTTACTCTTTATAACATTTACAACAACAACAACAACAAAGCCTTTAAGTCCCAAACAAGTTGGGATAGCTTAGAGTTGAAACCCAGCAGAAGCAATCAAGGTTCAGGCACGTGAATAACTGTTTTCCAAGCACTCCTATCTAAGGCTAAGTCTTTGGGTATATTTCATCATTTCAAGTATCCTTTTATTGTCTCTACCCAAGTCAACTTCGGTCTTCCTCTGCCTCTCTTCACGTTACTATCCTGGCTTAGGATTCCGCTACGCACCGGTGCCTCTAGAGGTCTCCATTGGACATGTCCAAACCATCTTGGCCCGCGACGAGCGAGTCTCCGTCTTTATAACATTTACAGACTACAAAATTACCTTTTCTGTTGGGCATAAAATAAATAAACAAACTTCTTTTTTGGAAAAAAATAGTAGGATAAAAAAATATTTTAGGAAAGTTTGCATAAGATAAATAAACAGTATTACCTTTTTTTAGAAAAAAACACGGTGAGATCATATTTCTAGAAAGTTTAGGGGCTCTCACTTTAAGACTAAATATAGAGCACTATCAATTCAGCTAATTGCATTCCCTCGGTTACAAATTATAATTTACTTTGGCTTTGTCCTAAGTCAAACCTATCTAACTTTAACCAAGTTCAAATAAATAAATTATCAAACATATATTTTATATATGGACCATCAAGCCAAACTAATTTTTCATATAGACTTGGTCAAAATGAACTATAATTTGGGGTAGAGGAGAAATATCTTTGTTGTGTTTGTTGCCCTGGCTAAGAACCCTGTTTTATACTTTCCTGGGCTCGCATTTGCTTTCATGTCATCTCTATTCTGACGACTGCACGCCAGCAAAGATAAGCTAGGAATCATTTTCTTGCAGGAAGAGCAAAAAAGATGCATATGCCCTTCGTTGTTGCAACTTGCAAGAAGAGCAAGGAGTTGCAGCCTGCAATCCGAAGTGAGGACAGGTTTTTGGAGTTAGCTCACCCTCCAAATTAAAACCGTACGTGAGGTTTTCATCTCATACGGTTTCTCCCTTCTATGCTCTCATACGGACCTCACAATCACCACTTTGATTCTATCTATAGGTTCTTGCAAATTTTTGTTACAACTTTGTTTATGGGCCTAAAATAAGGGCATACTATTTAGGTAGGAGCCGGAGCCCATGAAGCTAGTTTTTCTAGCTTTATTATTAGCTTTCAGTTCATTTTGATAAGATATTACAGGAAAACAACTCTTTGTTGTAGTGCACAATATATTCGCTAGAAACTGGAGCTGTTTAGGGACCTAGAAGCCCTGTCATTCAGCACCTAAATCTTGTTTTTTTTTGTGTGTGCAAAGAGCATATAGTTTTTTTTTTAGAATCGCAAAGAGCATAGAGATGCCATTTTTTTTAGGGGAGCATAGAAATGCCATATGCCTTACCCCCAAGGCAAAGGGCCAGGCCCAACACTGATACTGGTCCACTCCGGTCTTTATGCATGCATGACAGTTGGAGGGTCTTGCTTGGGCCAGAAACATTCCATCTCTACTATGCAAGCAATTCCTTTCTTTTCTTCTGATAAAAAAAATCCAGCAATTCCTTTCTTTTCATTTCGCCCGAAAAGATCGCATTCAAAAACAGGCAATCCACTACCGGATACATGTGCTTTGCTGAGTGCCAGCCCCAAAAACACTCGGCAAAGCGTTTGCCGAGTGTTACACTCGGCAAACGACACTCGACAAACGTTTTAACGGCAAAGAGCTTTTTTTGCGAGTGTCAATCGTCGGGCACTTGGCAAAGACTACGTCGAGTCCAAAAAAAAACACCCAGCAAACATTTTTCGGGGAAAAAAAACAAGTTGCCGGCGGCACCACCACGCCGCCGCCGCCGGGGACGCCGCCACCACCACCACCACAGCCGCCTGGGGGCGCGCCCGCCATGGATTTGGCCGGATCCGGGGGAGAAGAAGGGGGAAGGTGATGAGTACAGGCCCGATCTTCCGAGAGGTAGCCGGTAAGTTCGATATGTGGAGATCTCGGCGTTGGCGATCCGGCTTCAAATCGACGCGATTGAACCCGCAACCGTTACACCATTGCTCCGTTGGTTATCAACCAAGCACAACTTGATTGACCTCGCCAAGAAGGCTTTTCACGCAAGCGAATCGAAGAGCACAAGCAAGAAGGTAAAACACTTAATCGATATTGCAAATATGAATGACGCGAATATCAATAGAGGGTTCAAGAACTTCGGTTCCAAAGGACTAATCGACACAGTGGAGGAGATCGAGGCGGGGGCCCGGATCCTTTGTAAAAGGATTTGTCACCACAGTTACAATGAGCGATTGGTTTCTCGATGGAAAACTAAACTCTAAACAAAACCCAATTGTGTAGCAGCGGCGACGGCTGTGTTTATAGTCTAAGACTCGACCTAGGGTTGGGGACGGCCAGGGGTTGGGCGCCCACAACTTGGGCTTAAGGCCCGACACGATACATGGCCAAGTTGGCCCAAATAGGTGACGCAGCACCTTGCCGTGGTCACACAGAATGATCCACGGACCTTCTGGAGCTGGGACCAGATCCAAAACGACGGCGTCGTCGTCCCCTTTCCAACGCATCCAAGAACGGCCCGTTTCGGCGTCGTATGAGGAAGTTATGACCGAAACAGTGACGACGTGTCTGCTGAATCCGAGGGTGACGTGGCAGCTGAGTTGGGAACGAATTGCAACTTGGGGAAGACCATGACGTCGGTGTGTCCAGCGTGGCGATGTCCTTATCAGAAGGCGCAGATCTGCTCGGTCGGCGGCGGATCCGGATGCGGCCCCGCCTCGTCCTCGCGCCACCGGTGAGGGAGGGAGAGTAGAACCACCGAAGTTGATGACGATGCGCGCGGCCGCCGGCGTGGAGGTGGTGGCGACGGATCTAGCCGCCTGGGGGCGCGCCCGCCATGGATTTGGGGGAGAAGAAGGGGGAGGGCGCGGATCTGCTCGGTCGTCGTCGGCGGCGGCGGATCCGGATGCGGGGGTGAAGGAGAGGGGCCGCGCCCGCCATGGATTTGGCCAGATTCGGGGGTGAAGGAGAGGGGCCGTGCCCGTCGCGTTGATGAAGAGGGAGAGGGAGGAGGGGAGGACCGGTGGCGCTGCTCGGGTAGGGGAGGAGTGGCGGCGCTGCTCGGGGAGGGCAGGAGCCCCCGCGATGAGTCGCAGAGGGAGAGGCGCGGCGCTGAAAGGAGGGGGCGGCCGGGAGAGGAGGGGAGGGAGGCGGCGTCGTTGGGAGGAGAGGGGGCGCTGGGGGGTGGGGACGGAAGGGGCGGGTGGGGTGCTGGATGGGGACGCGGTTATGTTAAGTAGGATTTTTTTTTGTTTGCCGAGTGTCCCAGTTGGGGCACTCGGCAAAGTTTTTTTTTAATTTTTTTCTTCTTCTATTTTTTTGCCGAGTGTTTTAGATCTGAGCACTCGGCAAACTTTTTTTTTCATTTTTTTTCTTCTCCTTTTTTTCTAGAAAAAAAGATTTTATTTCTTTGCCGAGTGTATTTTTTTAACACTCGGCAAACACCCTCTTTGCCGAGTGTTTTTGTTTTGACACTCGGCAAAACGTCCTGTTTGCCGAGTGTTTTTTTTACCGAGTGTTTTTAGCGCGGCACTCGGCAAATAACTTGTTCGCCGAGTGCCCGAGGAAATATACTCGGCAAACATAAAAACACTCGGTAAATTTGAGGATTCCGGTAGTGATCGATAATAAGCAGACAATGATGGATGGATTTATCTACTGGAGTACTAGCTATTAACTAATCCATAATCCATTGGAGGTCTGCAGGTGGGCATGACGAAGTCTTGGTTATAGGTGGAGTAGTCCATCTCGTGGACGACGAGCTTCCTGGCGGTGACGCTGCCCACGGTGCCGTTGTTGAAGAGGTACACCCCGGCGGCACCGTAGATGGCCTCCGTCGGGTACATGCGCGACGTCACGGCCGTCCTCCCGCCCATAGCGAAGCTGTCCACGATGGAGTGGTCCACCAGCACCCCTCACCGCAAGCTAGGGCCTCCTCCTCGCCGTCCAGCACGGGCACGGCGCTGCCGACGACGCGCTTGACGATGTCGTTGGCCCGCGACGAGCGAGTCTCGTCGTGGCACCAGTGCGCGCGCAGCCGCCCCTGCTGCCTGGACACGTAGAAGTAGACGGCCGTCCGCTCGCCGCCGCCGCCGTGGCGGGCGTCGGCGAGCACCAGCAGGCCGAAGGGACCGAGCGCGCCGCGCCCAGCGACGCCGCCGCCCGTGCCGCAGTCGTAATGTTCTTCGAGGTCGTCGGCCTCGTCGCTGTCGTCCACGGCGCGGGCGTCCAGGGTGAACTCGGGCACTCGGCGACGACGATGTCCAACGGGTGTGTGGCGCGGCGGAGCCTGAGCGGCAGCGCGGCGCCGGGGCCGACGGTGACGCCGCTGAGGTCGGCGGAGCCGAGGCACAGCCGCGCAGGGAGTTCACCTCCTCGACGGGCCACTGCAGCAGGCTAGCGCCGCCGGTCTTGGTGTCCAGAAGCACCGTCCGGGTGATGGACTGCACCGACGCCCACCACTTGGCCACGTCGGCGCGCTCCGAGTCGGCCTCGGTCCGGGGGATGTGGACTAAATCAATTCGATAATGATACATTTAACACGGACGGACGAACGGACGTCTCCCTCGGCTCGCTCCCGCACGAGTCGCTCCACCAGTGACCCTATCCGCGCGTCTCGATGCTCACTGCGCCGTTTTCTTTCTGCGCCGCCATGCCCACCCACCCACCCTACCCCGTCTCGCCGCTGCCGGTCTCCCGCAGTGTCACACCCAATTTTAAGGATAAAATTGAATGCACAAAACTCGTGTGTGCCCAGGAATCAATCGCACACATAAGCTGATAAATTACATAAAGTATCATCACGGTGTCTCATACATCAGAGTTATAATAAAACTTAGTCTTATACATCACAGCGGAATAATAAAAAGATAATAAAACTCTCGTGGCCGTCATCACAGGGAAGGTCAACTGGTTGACCACAAGCCTAATAATTCTTCGGGAAATCCTCATACCCGTTGTCATCTGTTACCCATCCGGGATTTTTATCCAAGTAAAGAAAATAAACAAGTGTAAGTACATTCTGTACTCAGCAAGCTAACATGGGGTTATGAAGCTCAAAAGGTTAGACTCTGGTTTCGCTACGATCACGTCAACGCGAAGTTCACGAAAAACAGAGCTAAAATACGAAAGTTATGATTAAAACGGGTTTTCCTATAGCCCTATATTTAATTAAATCTAATCATGAAATTAAAAAGTTCCAAACTTGACTAATAGTAGCTCCAACATGTAGCTTATGAAATTACGAAGCTAACGCGATTTGAATGGATCAATTCGGAGCTAAAACGACAATTTTATAAGCGAAACAGTTCAAATGGCATTTCTGTAAATACTGAAAGCGTACTTTTGACTTAAGCCGTGGAGTTTACACTTTCTAATCGAGATTGCGCATTCCAGGAAATACGTTTTGGGCTGCGGGTTAAGACTTAGAAAAGTCCAGGGGCTCTTATGCAAAATCACCCGCGAAGGGGTATCTTCTATTCTGGCCGTTGATCTCGCGATGGGCGGCTAGGATCGGCCTCGGGGGTCGATCGGACGAACAAGAACACCGCCGCCAAAGCGCCATGGCGGCACGATGGACTGGACTCCGAGCGCTGCTGGTTAGGGGTCTATGGCTCACCAAAGCCCGACCCGAGGGCACCCGAGAGCTCGGGGAGAAGGGGTTCTTGCCATGCCGTTTTGGCGGCCAGGAACGGCGGCAAGCGGTGGCGCCATGGTGGCGGCGACCATGGCCCATGAGCTTGCTATGCCAAGGCTCAAGAAGCCAACAAACGAGGAGTGAGATGCACGGGGAGATAGAGGGAGGACGGAGAAGCTCACCAAGTGGGAAATGGAGACGGAGGCGGCTCGGAGGAGGCTGTCGCGCGGGGGGCGGTCGGTGAGCTCGGAGATCCCTGGGCGACAGTTGCGGCCTTCCTCGGTGCACGACAAGCCAGTAAACGAGAGCGGGCAGCAGGAGGGGGAGGCGGAGGCGGCTCGGTGCCGATTTAATGGCGGCCGGGCGAGGGGGGGCACGCTCCACGACGCTGGAGTGGGGGGTTTGCTTGATGCGGCGTCTGGCTGGTAAAGGCGGTTCCGAGGAGCGCAGGGTGAGGTGAAGCAAGCGTCGACAAGCGGGCCAGGCGGTGGTCGGCGTCTGGGCGCCAAGGCATGGTTGCGGTGGTTGTTCTTGGGCAAGTGGCACAAGTGGCGAGGGGAGAGGGAGAGGAGAGTGAGTGTCAGCAGGGAAAAAAGGCCATGCGGGCGAAAATGAGGAAGGGAGGAGATAATCATTTTCCTTTTTATTTTCCAACAAATTTTCCCAAAAGCATTTTCAAATTATTTTTTTGAACTCATTTGAACACTAATTTAAGAACAATCATCACATTAATAAATAGTACAGCAGCATGTATGCATCAAAAGTTTCAAATCTTATAATTTATTTTAATTCCCCAAAATTATTAATTTCCTATAATTGAGTGCACACTTAATAACATAATTAAATCAAATTTACTTAATTTAAAAGAATGAGATATTTTGGGTGTTACACGCAGCGCCGCAACCCATCCCCTACGACTTTCTCCGCGCCGTATTCCCCATTGGGCCCAGTCTGTCTTGCCCGCCTCCACCGCGCAGCCTCCTCGCCGCGGGGGAGGGGGGGGGGGCGCTCGACGCAACCACCTCCACCGACCTAGTGAGCCGCGACCGCCTCCACCGAGCCGGCGAGCCTCCACAACGAATACTCTAGCAAGCAGGCAAGGGGGACGAGATTCCTGTGACGCCACGCCCGCCGGCGAGTTGCTCGTGCCGCTGCCGCACAACGAGGTCCATGCGCCGCCGTCGACCTCCACGCCGGCGTGCCTCCATTCGTCCAAGCAAAGCCCAGGCTGCAAGAGGATGTTTCAAGTGTCTCAGATGTTTCATTTGAATGTTGCAAGTGTTTCATCTTGATGTTGCAAAAGTAGATCAGAATGTTGCATGTATTGCAGTGGCTATACACATGTGTTTCAACTGTATGTTCCAAATGTTTCATCTCATTTTTCAGACGTATGTTTGTAAGTGTTTCATCTGCATGTTTCAAAAGTAGATCTGATGTTGCAACTAGTGTTTCAGATGCAAGTTTCATGTGTTTCATCTACCTTCAGACATAGTATATTGCAAAAGTTGCATCCGGATATTTCAAAAGTAGATCGGGTGTTGCATCTTTGTCATCGCTTTTCTGCTGTCTTACCTTCGCCTCGATGTCTCCTCCTCCTCCTCGGCGTCGGCTAAGCATCCGCCGCCCCCTCCTCTTCTGGATGCTGGCACAACCACCTGTCGTAATCACCTGATGCAGCTGCTGGCCGTGTGCATGCTCGTGAGAAGCAGAGGGGGCACGAGCTCGGGACTCCCCACGTGTAGTCGGGCCGTGCGGGCCCCGCGTGGGGGGATGCAAGTGCGCGGAGGGAGACAGAGTGCATGTGCGGACGTCCATCTGGGTACTAGCACTGCCAAAATCAATTTAATCTAGATTGTCTGCTCCTCTCTTCAACTTGGGATTATATATATCGTTGTAATTGCTCTGATGGATCAAAATATATCTTATGGTTAAGAACATAAACAGACATGCACACTAATTAAATTTTCATGTTTGATGGATCATCATATGTATATTGCACTCGTCATACCTCGGTTAATTAATTCACCTTGTCGAGGAAAAAGTGCGATATATAGGACATCTAGCAAGCTGATCAACAAGTGACAAAATGAATAAAGTAGCAGGGAGATTCTATTCAACATCATATCACTAAAAGTAAGATAAACTATATATTAATTTCAAACCTGGTGATGTTTGGGTTGTCTTGAGTTAACCATATGAGACTCTGGCACGGTTGTTCTACAAGACAAGAACGACACCAGTGCCTCAACTCTTAGGGTGAGCTCAATGCCAATATCAAATCGCTAGCTTGGAAACAATAAAAAATCGAAAAAGCATGCAACCTTTCTACCAGATGGGGGAAGGAGTTGAGTTCAAAGGCGCTAGCTAGCTCGGTGATCTCTCTCTATGGCCAATAAAATCTCACCTAGACTACCGATTTAGAAACCGTGGGAAGCCCTTATATGCCTTCTGCGTTGAGTATGGATGTTTGCCCTCATAATACATATTTTTTTGGTTAAGTTTGATAAATATTTTATCTTATAACAAAAAGTGCTAGTTAACGTTGTGTTTGTTTAAAACGTAATTATCTGTGACCGGAGGGAGTGGTATCTTTGAAAGGCAGCACAGCACCCCATGAGTATGTGAATCGAATATGTCATTGACTCGGATCGGATGGTCCCACGGGTTGGAACTGCTGCTGTGTTCCGGTTCCGGTTCCGGCGGCGCTCACGGATGAGACGAGACGACGATGGCTGGTCACTGTTCCCCAAATCCCAGCGGAGAGAGGGAGGGAGTGAACAGTGGAGCAAGCAGGAACCCCGGGCGCGGGCGGGGCAACGACGTGGCGTCGTCCCTCCATCTGAACCGCATGCCATGTCTCCAATTGCTTCTCCGATGCTGTCCACTCCATTACCAAGAATAGTACTCCAATCGGATCCATGTATCTTGGAGAAGAGGGAGCTCAACCAACCATCCATGGATTGCTGCCACAAACAACAAGACCGGCCAAGAGGGAAGAGCGGAGGAGGGGCAGCTCTTGCAGAGGTCGGGGGCAACAACCATCGGGAGGCTAGTCTAGGCTAGGGGATTTCTGATCGCCTCCTGTCCTCTCCTCTCCTCTCCTGCCCCCGCAAGCCGCAACGCAATTACTCTGAAATCTGAATTCGCCGCTTGCCTCCGCCATTCGCGTCAGTGACATTTATTCCTTCAATTCATTCAGGTAACATCCGCGACGCCCCAGCATCTATATGTTTCGAATGTACATTGCCAGTCAGCCTATAGCTGATTGCGATATGGATCATGGATCGACAGTCCATGCCCTTCACACAATCAAAATCGAATCTTGGTTGCACACCTGGAACAACGCACATCGATTGCCCCCCCTCAACATAGGCACGTCTTTATCTGGAAGCACAGCAAATTGGTATTCGGATCAGTTACTTGTGCCATTTTTTTTCACCTTACTCTTCTTTTGGGGGTTGTGGAGCACAAAGCTCATGACTTTATGGGCACTAACATTGTACCCTGCATCTCTAAATAGGGAGCAAGAACGGCAGCACATTGCCAGGACAGAAATCATCCTGACGTTCTTCGTAAGTCGGGCGTTTAGACCAGGCTGACAATGTCAGCTTCCGAGTTCAGGATTCCATACCAGCAAGTAAGCGGTTCATATGTTTCGACAATAACTTTTATGTTCCGTGCTGGAGTTTGGTTATCAATGTGTATATACCCCGTTGCATTATTCAAGTGCTTTACTGGAGTAATAAACCAACTGGATATGACTGTTCTGAGTTGGGTAGCAATCACACCGTATAGTTTACTTCAGGCATTCTAGTTATGAATCATTGGTACACAAAAGAGTAATAAATCATGGAGAGTATGCTGCATAATGCATGCCTATGCCTTATTATGCTTTGAATAATAATAGTACTCAATCCATCCCAAATTGTAAGACGTTTGACTTTTTTGACACCAAGTTTGACCACTCGTCTTATTCAAAAATTTGTGTAAAATAAATTCGTGGTTTGGTTTATTAATA